AAAATGGTGTTCTTGGCCTCTGTCAGAGGCTGGAGAGGGATGGCAGGAGACAAATCGCTTGATCATTGTCTTCGGTTCTTCCTGGTCTGCAGACCAGGGAGACGCAGAGCAAAGCCCCAGAGTACACGGGCGGCAGGACCGCGAGGTCCCGCAGTCAGTGTCCTCGGGGCCAGCCCCGTTCGTAACTGCGGATCCGACATAAGTCGGATCCGCGTAAGTCGGGGACTGCCTGTATGATGGCTTCTTTTGCAGTTTTTGTCTTATTCAGAAATTTTGTGTACTTAATGCAGTGCTGGGCAAAACTCAGCCTGGGGGCTGAATCCAGCCTGCCTAACACTTTGATCCATGTTGCATAAAAAAGCCTCCACCTGAGCTTGATTTATATACTTGGATTTTCTGAAACTACACCAAACTGTAGGGTCTAAGGTTTTAAACTACAACTCATTGTGATCTTTGTCAAACTTTGTAATCCGTGTAACTCTCAAATTTACTGTAAACTGCAACATTGTCTCTGCCACCTTGCTTGTAACTTTCCCTAAGCTGCATTCTCCCCTGAATGAATGGCGAGAGAGTGAGATAATGTGTTTGAAGAAGGCTTAGAACAATGGAGCACATTGAAATGGAGCACATAGTGATGAGTCATTACAGACCACTGCTTTTCCTGGATAAAGGGAAGTCTGAGCATGCTCCCTGACCACTAACTAAATGAGTCATAGGAGCCATTCAGACACTATATAAGGAGAGGGAGCACATGTGAGACACTCTCTTTTTTCCCCTGCTCCTGAGAAACTCCTGTCTACAGTCAGTGTCTCTCCTCCTGACCAGCTTCCCCAGCCATGAGCCGACAGACCCTCCAGAATCCACATGCCTTGGCTCCTTCTGCAACCCATATGTCTGTCTAAGGGTGTGAATGCCTCAGGGCAGGAATGAATGGGTGTGTGGGTGTGAATGAGAGCGTGTGTTCTATCTTCTTTAGTTTAAACCTTTTCAATTTAGAAAAGAGGAGATTGAGGGAGGATATGATAGAGGTCTGTAAAATCATGAGTGGTGTGGAGAGGGCGAATAAAAAAAGTTATTTATTAGTTCCCATAATAGAAGAACTAGAGGACACCACATGAAGTTAATGGGTAGCAGGTTTAAAACTATTAAAAGGAAGTTCTTCACACAGCATGTAGTCAACCTGTGGAACTCCTTGCCAGAGGAGGCTGTGAAGGCTAGGACTATAAGGGTATGTCTGCACTACCACCCTAGTTCGTACTAGGGTGGTTAATGTAGTCAATCGAAGTTGCAAATGAAGCCCGGGATTTAAATATCCCGGGCTTCATTTGCATCTTGCCGGGCGCCGCCATTTTTAAATCCCCGGTAGTTCGGACTCCTGGGCTTCATTTGCAACTTCGATTGACTACATTAACCACCCTAGTTCGAACTAGGGTGGTAGTGTAGACATACCCTAACAGTGTTTAAAGAGAAGCTAGATAATTTCATGGAGGTTAGATCCATAAAAGGCTATTAGCCAGGGGATAGAAATGGTGTCCCTGGCCTCTGTTTGTCAGAGGCTGGAGAGGGATGGCAGGAGACAAATTGCTTGATCATTGTCTTTGGTCCACCCTCTCTGGGGCACCTGGTGCTGGCCACTGTTAGCAGACAGTCTACTGGGCTAGATGGACCTTTGGTCTGACCCAGTACGGCCGTTCCTATGTTATATAAACCTTTTGTGGCTGCTTTCTCCTCTTTAGTTTTACCTAGTGGAAATAAACCCATACTAGTGTAACCCTGGGTGGTCTCCAGTGAGAATATTTTGGGGGTATCAATCCATGCTTCTTGCTGCTTTCTATTTATAGCCTGCTGCCCATGCCACCAAATTTCCAGGCGATGGCTGAGGCAGCCAGATCCTATTTAAATGGCTCATAGTCGTGATGCTACCCTGGCAGGGGCCAGACCCCAGAGCTTCAAGCCCTTTAAATAGCCACAGCAACTCTGGGTGACTGCCAACCAGTGTGGTAGTGACGGGGCCATGAGCCTTTTGCTGTGTTTTTTAATTCAAAGCTTCTGGCTTCAGACAACTCTGGGGCCTCTAGCCCCTGGTCTAGTGTATAGACGTTGGGCTGGGAGTCAGAGATCTGTGTGCTGTTTCATTAATTTTGTCACTGACCAGCTACTTGACCTCAAGCCAATTTATGCTTCTGTTCAGCTTCTGAGTTTGTCTTTTCTATAGAGTGTGAGCTCTTTGCGGAAGGTACTGTTTCTTACTATTTGTTTTCACAGTACCTAGCACCCTGGCATTTAAAGCTCAATTGGGCCTCTGTGTGCTGGTGCAAACTAATAATAATACTTTTTGTAATCATAGGTAGCAGAAGAACTCAGCAAAGTGCAGGGTATTGCAAAAGTTTTAGTGGCTCAGCATGATATGTACAAAGGATTTCTAGCAGGTGAGCAATATTTGTATATAGCTCTTGGCCAAAAATAGTCTATCATTCTTAGCAATGAAAACTGTAATCAAAAGGGGGAGGGATAGCTCAGTGGTTTGAGCATTGGCCTGCTAAACCCAAGGTTGAGAGTTCAGTCCTTGAGGGGGCCATTTAAAGATCTGGGTCAAATCTGTCAGGGATGGTACTTGGTCCTGCTGTGAAGGCAGGGGACTGGACTCAATGACCTTTCACGGTCCCTTTTAGTTCTGTGAGATAGGTATATCTTTATATTATATTATTATATTTTATTTAAAAATATAAATGAGACTGTTATAAACTGTGGCATGTATTTTTCCTCAGAGGAGCTGACACCATTGATTTTGGCAACTCAAAAACAGTTTAATTACACACACATCTGTGCTGGAGCATCTGCTTTTGGAAAGGTGAGCAGATAAGAGAAACACACAAATGTATAGTATGTAAGAGGCGAAGAGCCCATTACAATTAAGTGAGAGTCAAAAATCCATGAAATACTTGTATATTCTGTAACCATGTTGGACTTTTCTGAAATATAGCAATATAAAGGAGCAATTTAAACCAAGTATTTAATTTTAACTTTTGTGGGTGTTAAATAAAACAAATAGGAATTAGAGATCCAAAATCATTTTGCCTTTAGAAAAGAAGAGTATAAAAAACTAATTGTGGTATCTCTTTAAAGTAAAAATTAGCTTTTTTTTCTATTCAGTTTTGTGTTGTGCATCTATGAAGAAGGAAAGCATGCATGCTCCTTAGCATTAAGCTATTTTTTTACATATGTCTATCGAGTAATGCAGACTAGAGTGTAAAAATATATATATATTGTCTATGAAAAACACTGAACTGTAACTCTTAAGTTTTATCATTTTTTTTAAATGAAAGTACAATTCTCAGTATCTCTTTTGTCTATCACATAAACATTCAATCAGTAATTAAATCAGGCTTCCCTCAGATGAATTTTAACTTGTAGTCCTTATACAGGTTGGACTTCCCTGGTCCAGCACCCTCTGGACCCGACCAGTCTTGGATGAGAGATTTTTGCCAGACTGGGGTGTATGTGTGTGTCATTTCTGGCCCCCCTGCATTGGCCAAACTGGCCAGCCTCACTATGGCATGCTGGACTTTCCAGCCCCACCAGACAGACCTGCTGCCCTGCCAGTGCTCAGGGCTCCCAGTTTCCTGCCCTCCATGTGGACTCTGGTTCTGGAACAGCCATGTCCTGTTGGACAATGGATGTTACTAGATCAGAGAGATCTGATCTAGAGAGGTTCACCCTGTACGTAATATTTTAGTTTTTAATAAAATTCTTTAGATGCTTTTTGTCCCAATGCAAACTTTCTTGGCAGCTTTGGCTTAATGTTTAGCTTGTTAAAAATGATTGCTTCATTTTTCTTATCATAACATCTAATTCTGAGTTCATTGTTCACATTGAGTAGTAATTTCAGTAGGAGTAATTGAGTATACGTATTCCTGTAATAAGGTACTGCTTAACAAAGGTATCAGAAGTGTGCCCTTTATTTTATGCATGTTGTATCAAGTCAGAAGAAAGAACTTAACCCTTGTACTGCTTATTACATATAAGATCTGTGCTGCTTAGCTTCCTCCCTGATATTTTTAAATATATGTAAACTTTCTGTAGTGAACTATATGCAAAAAAGTCTCTTAAATGTTATTATTTTAATATATTTTCATTTGCTTTTGTTGTCTGCTAAAGTAAGGATTTATTCCTCTCTCTTGGTATTTGGGAACTAACTTGTAAATATTTTTAAAAAATCCACAAAAACTTTACTTGTCAGAGTCCAGCAATCCATGCTTGTCAATTTTGTGAGCAAATGGCATCTGTTTTCAGTTTAAAACTATTAAAGCAAACAAGCATAATTCAACATATTGAATTAAGGGTTTACTTACTGTAAGTCTCATAAAATTTCTAATGTTGTTACAGTAATGGGCTTTCATTTAACCGCAAAGGCTACATGAATCTATAGTTTTGTGGGCCTCCTCACACAGAAAGCATTATAGAAAAAAATTAGGGCACTGAATGTATCTTAATTATAGTTTATACACCGTAAAGGTATGTTTTAAATTTCCTTATGTATTCAGGGTACAAACTGTCAGCATATAGAATGTTTTTCTAACTTCTCATATGTAACTTTTTAGAATCTTCTTCCTAGAGTGGCAGCTAAACTTGATGTTGCCCCTATTTCTGACATCATTGAGATTAAATCATCTGACACATTTGTGCGAACTATTTATGCAGGTGAGCAATATAAGAGTATGCTGTACAATAAGGATTGTCGTGCTTACCTGTGTTACCAAAACTCAACGTGGGATGTGTAAGGAATTTCAGGATAGTATCCTAAATCATTATGGTTATCAGGAATTAAACTAGAAGATAAGTTATTTTTGTAAAAAATAAAAAAAAAACCAAAAAACCACAGAGCATTTTCCCTGATGTTATAGGAATGCAGCTCAGAAACCAGAGCTATAATTTTAATTAAGTCTCTGGTGATGATTTTCATACATATTGTATTTCTCTGTTAATGTACTTCTGATCAGATTTTGCAAAATGTAAGATTCAGATAACTCACTTTATTTAATATGGCTAGCATTACTTTTGATTTCAGATAGCCATAAAGTTATTTTTCTTAATTATGTAGACATTGATCAGATTATTTGTAATATTTAATTGACTTTCTTTAGTAATTATTTGCAGGCTTTGCTTCAGTTTAGTTCTCTAATGCCTGTCTTACTCTTGGTTTTGTTTTTTGTTTTGTTTTGTTTTAAATGTAGACATGAGCTCATTAGCTTGTTTCAGGATTTTGTGGCAGAATTTGCCTTTCTTAAGCCTACATAGTAGTATCTTGAGATAATTGTGATACTACATTTGAGATGTGATGTCAAAACCTAGATAAGTTGCATTGCATTTTAAATTGCTTCCTTGTCATTCAGATTTAAGATACTTTTTATGGGTAGCTGGTAGGGATGCGAATGGTTAACTGGTAAGCCTCACCTTTTAATGGCCCAGGTGCACAGGGGAGAGGAGGAAAGGGAGTAGAGCTGCTCCAGGCTGGAATGGTTCCCCCATCCACCTCCCCTTAATGGATTAAACATTGTTTAGCTGGTTAACCAATTAAACAGGATTTTGCATCAATAGTAGCTGGCATTGTAGCATTTCTTTTCCTGTCTCTGTTCTCAGTGCCTTCAGTTGAGAGAGATTAGTCAGTTAAGGTTGTGAAAACCAACTGTTTGGTGGAACGGGATTGAATTTTTTAAAAATCTTGTGATCATTTAAAAGGCTGTTCATGAAATGGAGGCTTTTCATATTCTTTTATTAAGTTTTTTAATCTTGCAATCCCAGTCTCAAAAATTTAAAAATGCTTGGAAGTTGAGAGCTCACTTGAATGTAGTCTCTGATTGGAAAGGGGAAAGGCACACTTTCTACTGGCATGTTACTTAAATCTTGTGTGATAGGAAAGAAATGTAAAATACAGTTTTAAGGCTTCTCATTTTGTAATGTTGATGAACTAAAAGTGCAACTTAAATTAAAATCACAAGATTATTTCCTTAAACGCTGCATTTTCTGCTAAAATCAATAATTTCTGGTGATTCACTGGTGCTGTTATTTTAAAAAAATATCTTCCCTAGGAAATGCTCTGTGTACTGTGAAGTGTGATGAAAAAGTAAAAGTGTTTTCTGTACGGGGAACCTCTTTTGAAGCTTCACCAGTGAGTGGTGGTAGTGCTAGTGTAGAAAAAGGTGGGTATTTAATTTTGATACATTTTCATCTTTTGGTTTTAGTTTTGCAAAAATATGACTTTACAGAATTTCTTATCAAAGTAAAATCATTATTATAGTCTTTGTACTTTTTAAATTTTGCCAGCAAAGGAAAAATAGATATTGCTAGTCCACCTATGCTTTTCCCTCTTTTAATCACACCTGTGTAAATACTAAGTAACTGTTTCCTTTACTGTGCCTGCTTTATGGTCTTGTACCTGCTTTATGGCTTTGTGCTATAAGTTGTCTTGTATTTAAAGTTGAACCAGTTCGAGTTTTTAAATTGCTTTAAACAACAACTTGGTTAAATGGATGCAAAACAGTGTGAAAATCCATAATTTGATTTTGGATTCAGTTCTATCGCAACTTTTAGTTTAAGTTGATTTCTTATTACATTAAGATACATTGATAAACAGATTTAAACCAGATTGAATATTAGGGATGTTAGCTTGTGGTTGCTTACATGATTAACCTCTAAGCCTATGAGAGGTAGCAATGCTACAGAGGGGCAGGTGGCTCCGCGGGAGCCGGTGCTCGTGGGGGGCTGACTTTTAAAAGTTGACTCTCCACGAGCACTGGCTCCTGCCTGCACCCTTGCATTGCTGCCTCTGTGGGAGGCACTAGGGGGTGGGGCAGGCAGGCAGGCAGAAGGCGGGAGACAGTACATAAGGGAAGTGTACCGCCTTCTGTGGTGCCATCTCCCCCCACTGCCTCTGTATCAGAGGCAGTGGGGGAGAGGGTGAGGCACGCTGGAGCTGGTGCTCCCTGTGAGCACCAGCTCCCACTTGTCCCCTGCGTGTAAATGTGTAACTGCTGAAAAATTTAACGGTTACATGTTTACCAAGAACATGTTTGATAACATTCCTATTCAATATCCCAGCCTGTGTTTTGCACCAGTTGTAAATAAATTACATTCTTAGTCAAAATCAGTGTAACTTTGAATAAAGACAAAGCTATAGTCACATGTGTCCTTTCTTTGGGTGGCACCACTCAAGACAGTTCCATGAATCAACCAGAGGGAGTTGGTAGCACCATTATTAATGATAATGTCAGGGATGTTGAGCTTCTGAATTCTTCTCCAGCATTCACCTTGTCAACTCTGATCAATGGATATTGGCATGTTTCACTGTCATTAGATCACTTAGCCAGTGTGCCTGTCTGTCTCTTTTTAAAACTGAGCTGCTTCTGCTAGGAAAATACAGTATGTGTGTCTTTTACAAAGCTTTGTTTTAGTCCAGTCTAGTATGCAATGTGAAGATAGTTTTCAGTGAACTGTGCATGCAGCACTACAAAAACATGTAAATAAGATATAAAGGAGGCAAGCTATTTTAGTGGCTAATAAATAGACTTAACACATACTTTTTAAAATATTGTGACATAAGCAGTAACAGCTCCATCACCAGTTGGTCAGTCTGAATGGATTGAGCAGAAGTTAACACAAAGTGATCGTCCAGAGCTTACAAGTGCAAAAGTGGTCGTATCGGGTGGTAAGTAAGATAAGAGTTAACAAGTGCTGTTTCAGTTGTAGTACAAACTCCATCTTTGACCTGCTCTGCTATTTATTTACAGTATGTGGCTCTCTTTTTTTGGGCAGATACCCAAAATCACTTAAATCTTGTAAACTGCAAACTGCAAGCTTGTAACACATAGTGACAAATATTTTAGGGACTTCACGTTCAGTAAGACTGTAAATTTAAAGAGATGCATGCAAATAATTAGATCCAAATGTGACCTATGTTAAAATTAGTATAACCAGTGTACAGTAATCCAATAATAATTAAAAATTCATCGTGCTATCCCTGAGTAGGGTTATTAAAATGCAGCTAAGTAAACATGCAACCATTGAAAATTTCAGTGGTTATTCGCAGGTGGGCAGTTGGCTCCCAGGGAGCTGGTTTTTAAGCTGGCTCTTTGTGCATACTGGGAGCCACGAAGGTTAACTGATGATCCCAGAGGCTCTTCGTTTAACTATTTACACCGTTTCACTTTCACATCCCTATCCCCAAGTAAGAAAATAAAAAGCTACATGATGCATTTTTGCTCTGCAATAGCAGAGCTATATAACTAGAGCAGTGGTCCCCAACCTTTATGGGCTCCCGGGCGCCCGGGGGCGGGGCCGCGCGTCCTGGGGCACGCCAGGGCCGGGGCCACCCGAGCCCCTTGTGCCGTGGG